TGGATCATTCTCATAGCTAAAAACACTGTAAAATAATTATTTGTGATCTCCATGCTATTATTGATTACCTTATGAAAATGACATGACCTGTAGCTTTAGTATTCAGTTAATCTTAGGAGTTTGGCGATTTGGATACACAGACAGTATGAGCAACTTCTGATGAGGAAAGAGAGTTTTTTTAGTTCACTAAATGAACAGCATTCGGCTCAGATTCCTAAAATCTAGTCACATGCTCAGATTCTTACAATCTAGCCACTAGCTTGCTAATGTTCAGACTGCTTAAGAGCCTGCCCAGTAATAAACCTTATCTTTGGCTGAAAGAAGGCTTGGGTCGAATTCTTTCGGACAGGACCCAATTCTATCAATTCTCTTCGCACTAGGGAATTGAGGAAAACTATAGTTGCTTTTTGGTTCCTTAAGGCTTACTTACTCCCCTCTACACCCTTGAATCCTCCTTCATGGAGGTTACAGGAAAAAGTTAGAATAGCTAAAAACATCTTAGATTCTGAAGGTTTTATGATCGATCACTAAGGACTTCTGAAACTCCTCCTTACCTCCCTGGTCACTCCTTTCTCCCCCTCCCTCCCTTGAGTCAAGAGGGTATCTGTTAACCCCCCTTCACAGGAGAAGGGAGTTTCACCATTTACCCCATACCTTTGATTTCACCAGGGAAGGGCAGTGTAGGTCCCCCTGGCAATGGCCTTGGGCCCTAGGGCAACCTTTGCCTGGAAGCATCACCCAGGTTCAGCACATCCTGCTCAAGGTAATGAAGCTAGTCTCCCAATCTGGATAAGCATGCTCTTTTAAATTTGTAGTTTTAACCGTTAATGATGAGATGTTGATTCTCTGTGTAAAGTAATTTGGAAATGAATTTAATAAAATCGAAGTCAACTGATTGGTAATGAGCTTGTTTTAAGTTTCAAATGGGTGAACTTTTTGTATCAGTTATGTCAAGCAACTTTTCATAATTCTGTTACAGCTAAAATACTTTGGCTATTGTTGGTTATTGTTTTAATGTGTAAACTAGCCAAAAAAGCTTGTTTGGGTTATGTATGGCTTTTTGGGTATGATTGGCTTTTTACACCATGACAAATTTTAAGTTTTAGATGTAAATCCTGGAAAAGTTTTCCTAAGCTGTGATTAATGAAACTTGCTGTTTGAAGTAAAAGCTCCTAGGATTTTATTTTGAATTGTCTGATGGATCGCAATCCATTGATAATCGATAATCTACCATCTGAGAGAAATGCCACAAGCTGCTCAGAAAATGTGATACTGGTGGGAAGTCAGCATTGGGAAAAGCTGAGAGGACAATTTTAGCCTCAGTCTAAGATGGGATGCTCCTGGCTATTCCTGAGTCTGTCTATGAGGTGGATTTGACACTGCATGGTTGTAAAACTGAGTTATCTGGATCCAAACAGAGCTAAGGATGTTTTATCCTGTCATTTGGGCCCTGCAGTCTTTTCTGTCAGATTTGTGTCTTCCAGACTATCACCTACAGTTGACAGCAAACAGCTGGTACCAGCCAATGTCCCCACCCCCCATCTTTCCCTGGATGCAGCCTGTGCTTGGTTCCAGTCAACCTCCTCTTTGGGACCCCCTGGAGGCAGGGACCGCTCTATGCCCCTTGCCAGCAGGAAGCAGTTTCAGAAGCCAAGACCCTTACCACAAAAGAATTTGGGCCCCATTTGTTTGAGGGGGGGAATAATGAGGATGGGACCTAGACCCCCCCCCCGAAAAAAAAAAAAAGAACCATCCTGGACTTTCTCACATAGCCAAATCTCTGGAGTTTGCCTGAGGCTATAATCCCATCAACTGGCCTTTTGTTATTGCCTACACCCAACCTCCCAATTCTCTGTTACCCTTCACCTAGCCTAGTTCTCTATTGCTTTACCTCCCTATGGCCACTTCCCACCCTTAATTCTATCTAGGCTCCATTCAATCTTGGCCACATGGTCAGGTCACTGGCATTCTATTACCTCACAATCCCTGCAGACTGGTTGGCCACTCCTAGATCTCTCCCACAGTCTTTCCGTATATGAGGTTCATCTCGTCTCCATTAAGGTACTCAGATTCTTACAATCTAGCCACTAGCTTGCACATGTTCAGACTCCTTAAGAGCCTGCCCAATATGACAGATGTTGTAATAAACCTTATCTTTAGCTAGAAAAATACACAAACAACATTCAATAAACTGGTGGAGGGGGGGGCACTACAAGTCAATGGGTTGACTGATGTTAGAAGTATTGCTATACTTCAAAGCTGTAATCCCCAAAACTGTTTGGTACTGGTTAATGTCTCTATCATATGAATCGGATCTTGCTCCAGTTTTGTTCCAGAAAGAAAACTCACACTTACTTTGATACTTTAAGTGACACATTCACCAAAGGCAAGTCTCAGTCTCTCTTCAATAGACACCTCCCCCCACTCTCTCTCTCTGTCTCTCTCTCTCCCCCCCCTCCCCGTTTTCATCCTGATTCCTGTCACTATTTTCCTATAAATCCTCCATCCAAGATCTTCCAGGATGCTGAATGGCTTCTTTTTGTTCTTCCAACACATGTCTCTCAATTTCAATTCTTAGGGGTCCCACCCCTTTTTCTGGTCATACTCTCCCACCTGTGGAATAATACAAAATGGCATTAAGTGTTGAATGATGTTATGAAACAACAGGAAAAAAAAACTAATTGGGGTGACAAGACAGACCCACCTTAAACAGAACCATTAAGTTTTTAGAACACCAGTGACAAGAAGAGTAACAGATGTTCAGAGAAGGGAGAGCAGAATGTGGGGTGGAATAATCCAAAGGATTTGTGGAGTGGGTAGCACTAGAGCACTGTCCCTTGACAGTAGTATAAGATTTGGATAATAGAAGAGGGCAATATTGTCAGGTGCCCGAGGGAAGAGGGAGCTAGCAGGAATCAGAAAAGTGTAGCCAATGTGAATGATGACAGCTTTACCCAGGTGTCAGTTAAACAAACTCTGCTAGAGCTGTTCTTGGAAGGAGTAACAACTTCCTCTCCCAGGGCCTAAGGCCTGGGCTGGATAAGGGTTTGGCAGGGGTGGAGTAGGGTTGGGGGTGGAGAGAGAGTGTAGGTAATTAAAGGTTGTGTATGGCCTGGGATGCTCTACATAGGAGTCTAGCTTGAGGAGTCCTTCAACAGCCTGGCACTAAGATTCTTGGTAAATTTTGCCTGACTTGCAATTTCCCCCATCTCTACTTCCCTACTGGAGAAGGTAAAATGGGGGGACTTCATTTCCACAAGGAACTAAGGAACTCAGCTGCACAGGCCCCAGAATGAGGCTGTGGGAGAAGAGTGGGGACTGCTTCCATTTGTACTGTGGCAAGACCTCTTTCTCTCTCTCTCTTTCTCTCTCTCTCAACATTGTCAGGGAACAAGAAGATTCACAAGGTTTGCTTTTCATTTTTCTAATCAGTGAAGCTTTTAAGCATATTAAAGGCAGTAAAAAAAAAAGAGTCACTTTTCATTGTGTTTGGGAATCCTGATTGATTTATCAATCAGTTACTAGGAGGCTTGATGACTGGTTATGGATTCCCCCTCAGAGACCAAGAATACCTATTTACAAGGGAAGGCTGACTTATTTGTTGTATACCTTTCCCAGGGGCTCTTGGAGAATTCTAAGCAGTTATCCCTAACTAGACATCTTGGGGGTTGGGTGGACCAGGGGGCAGAATGGATGGAGATCGATCTACTTGGAAGAGATGGCTACAAGCCTACTAGGTGATGCTAAGAGTCTGTGCTGTTGGCAATGGGAAGAAAGAAGGACTAGTCAGAAGGGGGTAATGGAGCTACTGCAAGGGTGTGAGGTTACCTACCCCAGATTCTCTCGTGAAATCCAGTGCCTCGTGACCTGCTGGCCCTCTCCACCTGGATATGTCTGTCTCCTTGGGCATCTAGAGCAGAAGCTTTCCTACCAGTGATGTTCTCTTCTCTGCCACCAACCTGACCTTCCTCTGCCAACAGCCCCTATTCGTAAGTTGAGGGAACCACTGTCAGAAGCACCATTCTTGTCCACCAGGACAGGACAGGAAACTAATTACAGCTCTTGGTGGCAGTCGAAGTTACTGGGATTTCAGAGGGCTGTATAATCCAAGCCTTATATTTTGCAGATGAGGATGAAGGAGAGGGTGAGGCTCCGAAAAACCAGTCTGAGGAGTGAATTCCTCGAAAGGTGAAGGCCTGAGAAACGTTGGTTCTGTTAAACCACTGAAAGGTGTGATGATAGGATTTAGCGGTCACCGCAGAAAACGAGGGCGCAGGGGGTGAAAGGAGTTTCCCAAAGTCAGATGGGCCAGTAATAGCAGTCAGAAGCAGGGTGGGGGTTTCCCGACTTGCAACCCAACCGCAGCCACGAGGAGGCAGCATGGTGTAATGGCTAGAGCACTATCTTTGTCTTAGAATCCCACTCGGGACGACTGTGAGCCAGTGATGTCATCATTTGGGGCTGCTTCCCCACCCATGAAATGTGGATAAAGGCATCTACCCCCTTCAGGGTTGCCCTGGAGAGTCAGGGAGCCTGAAAGGGTACATCAGGCACTTTGCAAATCTGAAAGTACTACATCTATAATAAAACATTCAATAACAGATCTTGGGAGGTGCTAGAATGTTATCCCCCTCCTGTACAGGAAAAATAAGCCCGTAAAGAGATAACGAGAAAGTTAAGACCATCCAAGGAAAGGATAAATTTTCATGTGATTGCGTAAATCAACGTGGGGGACTAACGAGGCTGCAAACCGAGGCTGACGTGCACAGGGAAACGCGTTAATCTCCCGCAGCTCAAGCAAGAGACAAGTGGGTAATGGGCATGCAAACTCTTTGCACTACGCCTTGGTGGCCATCACCTTTCCCCGTACCCAGGCCTGTGCGCTAATTTTGCCTAAGCAAGGCTAAAACCGAAAAATGAAATCAAACCACCAAGTTGGGCAGTTGAACTCACCCCTTCCCGCCTCGAGAGAACGAACACAGCTCCTTTAAGTGAGAAAATGGGCGGCCCTGAAAAGGGCCTTTGGGGAAGCAGCAGGGTACGGTGCGCGCACACACACAATACCCGCAGGCACGATTAGCCGCCAAAGCCGTAGAGAGTGCGGCCCTGGCGCTTGAGAGCATACACCACGTCCATGGCCGTGACAGTCTTCCTCTTGGCGTGCTCCGTGTAAGTGACGGCGTCCCGGATCACGTTCTCCAAAAACACCTTCAGCACTCCGCGGGTCTCCTCATAGATCAGCCCCGAGATTCGCTTCACACCCCCACGCCGAGCCAAGCGGCGGATGGCAGGCTTAGTGATGCCCTGGATGTTATCCCGCAGCACCTTCCTGTGCCGCTTGGCACCCCCTTTCCCCAGCCCCTTGCCTCCCTTACCGCGACCAGACATGACTAAGCAACTCAGTAAAGCCACTCGAAACGAATGAAGGACTCAGACCCCGCGAGACCTTTATATAAGGCATAGGCGGACCTCTTTGAAAACCGTAAGGGGCCCAGAAGGGGGCGGTGGGATACTGCATCTGAGGCTCCGCCCCTCCCTGGGCCTCAGGTCCCTTCTCATAGGACGAGAGGGAGCAGAGAGACAATCCTGAACAGCAAGCGCGCCCCTTTTCTCAGTTGTCTTTTATTTCATTCGGAAGAAAGATGCCTGATTCTTTTCAGGAAAAAAAGCTTAACTCCTCATTTTTCATTCTAATATGTTACGGAGGGAAGGTTGGAAGGACGAACTCAGGAACGCTGTGGTGGCAATATAGGCCTATTTATTCCTTTGGATTTTTTGGTTGCCTGTGCGTTGCGTTATGGTTATTGAAGATGGCAGTAAATCTGTGATAGGGTTTTGCACTAGCAAAAGAAACTTGCCGTTAGAGTCCTTTCTTCCCTCACTTATGAAGGATCTCTTACAACACTTTCTCTCAAGAGTCCCAAACTCCAAATTTATTTCTCGTACTCCTGTCTCCTGCTACCTCCCCTTCACTTCAGACTCCATCCTCCTGGAAGCCATTCCTGTGAAGTGTGGACAGATGTTGTTGTTGAATCAGTTCGTCTTTTGGGTAGGCCTGCCCCACCTCTTCAAGCTATACTCTGTAGTGCAAGTAGTTTTCCTCTCCAGTCATTGGAGTAAGTAGTGGAGATTTGGGGGGGGGGGGTCAGGTTGCCTTTTAGATGCTATTTACACTTGAAAGCAGGGGTTCTTAAGGGGGGGGATTTGAATTTTTTTTTTAAAGACCTTTAACAATTGCATTTCTGCATAATCCTTTGTAATACTATTATCTATTTTACTTTCTGTACTGGAAAACATAATTCTGAGGCCTGCATAGACTATCCGGACTGCCCAAGGGGATAGTGACAGAAAAGTTCAAGAACACCGGCATTAAAGGCAAGCTGCAGCTCTCCGACCCACGTCCAAACACCCCCCCTCCCTAACTAAAAAAAAAAAACCAAACAAAAAACCCGATTGCTTTTTGGTCGTGTTTCACACTTGTCCGACTCTTCCTTACCTCTTTTGAGATTTTCTTGGCAAAGGTACTGGAGTGGCTTGCCATTTCCTTCTCCAGTTCCTGTTTACAGATGAGGGAACTGAGGCAAATAGGGTTAAGTGACTTGCCCAGGACACAGGGCCAGTAAGCATCTGGGGTCGTATTAGAACTCATGTCTTACTGACTTCAGGCCTGCTACTCTATTCACCGAGCCACCTGGCTGCTCGGTCTAGTGGCAAAACGTAATTCTTTAGAACCGAGTAGTAGAACCTAGTACATAACCACAGCCACTCTTCTCCATATTTCACAGGTAAAGTGGAAGCAGCAGTCAGTCACTCAGTCAACAGTCATTTATGAAGTGCTTAATAGGCGGCAGGCAGGCTTAGCCCTAAGCTCTAGAGATACAAAGAATGGCAAAAGACCGTTCCTGCCCTCAAGGAGCTTACATTCTTTTTTTTTTTCAAAGGGGTAATATAATACACAAGTGGCTAAAAACTGGGAGGGGGGTGTCGAGGGTGGGGAGAGAGGGGCAGAAAGATGAGAGGTGGGTGAGAAGATACCCAGCTTCAGGTAGGACAGAGAAATTCAGAATAGTGCAGTGGGGTGGGAAATGAAGAGATGGCTGGACAGGGGTGCCTCCTAAAATGGAGGATCTGAGAGGAACGCTGAACCTCGAAAGCTAGGAAGGGTGAGAGGGTACTGATGAGACATGAGTTGCTGGGCTGAAGTGATTGCCACCCAACTCTCCTACAAGTAATTCTGAACCTCAGGGAGATTAAAAAGAGTCATCCCTAGGACGAAGAGTAAGGGGTTGGCACATTCAGAGTCAAGAATACGAGCTAGATGGTGCAGCAAATAGCGTTCTGGGTCGGGAGTCCGGAAGATCTGAGTTCAAATAGAGCTTCTTTACACTCACCAGGTGTGATCCTGAGCAAGTCTCGGTGACCTCTGTCTGCCACAGTTTTCTCAACTGTGACAGGCTGTTACGAGGATTAAATGAGACAAGTACCTAAGAAGTGTTTATTTCCATCCTCCCTCAGATACCCTGGGAAAATAACTACTGCCTGTCTCAGTTTCCTGACCTGCAAAAGGGAATCCTGTGGCCTCCACCACTTTCCCACCAACCTCAGTGATGCCGGAAAAGGAATTTTTTCCTCTCCGTGCCATGAAGGTGTTGCCTGGGTGGTGGTAGGTCAGGGTGAGAGGAGGGGGAGACAGAGGCAAAGTCAGAGAACTCATGTTAATTTGCTGTGCAGGCAGGCAGAATGGAGGAACAGGCACATACCAATGAAGCCACATTTTAAAAGCAGCGGCAACAACAAGAGCAACAATGAGAAGACACTTTTCCTTTGAGGTGCCAGTTTCTTGAGTGAAATCCTCAAGAGAACTGGGATTGGTTCAAGTCTCTAATACATTTATTGTGTCTGCAGTTTCCCCAGGAGAATCTAAGTCCCCCGGGGGTTAGGTAGAGACTGTATTGCTTTTGCCTCTGACTCCCAGTGTCCTAGTCCTGGGCCTGGGGCCTAGTAGTTGCTCGAGAGGCCTGTTGGATTTTTACAGGGGCAGGGCTATTCCCCCAAACCTCAGAGGCCCCTTTCAACTTCCCTTACTCCCTGCATCCAATCCGGGGGCCTAGTTCTATAGATTCCATGTCCATGATCCCTAGCCTGTGCCAACACTTCCGCTCACTGCCAACACAGCAGCTGGGTTGCTGTTAGAATGGAGTGACGCGTCCCCCTGACTTGGGTCATTCCCCTCTCCGACAGAGCAGGCCTCATTTTACAGGGATTTTCCTGAGGAATTTTCCTCGTAAACGTCGGCAAGGTTGGGATTAGGTTGGGATGCATTGGATTGAGATCCCTGTCGGTCGTGAAGAGTCGCCCTTCCTTCTGCAAAGGCACAAAATGCATAGAACCTTCAATGGCTTCTCATTTGCCTAGAGGATGCATAGCAGCCTGATCTTCAAGGTCCTTCACCGTCTGGCTCCAAACTCACTGTCCAGTCTGGCTTCCCAGAGCTGCAGTTGGATGCCTGCTAAGACCGTGACAACTTGGATTGCTTTTCTTCTGCCACCCTGTCCTCTCCTTCCTATTAGATTGTAAACTTCCCGAAGGCAGAGGCTCTACGGTTAACGTTCTCCATCCTATCCCCCGAGTTGAGTGCCCCAGGACTGTACCTGGCACTTGAGCGCTGGGGAAAAGTTGGAGTTGAAAAGAAGTGAAATGAACGGCAGAGCCCCGCCCCCAACCCCAACCACCCCAACCCCAACCCTGGGTTTTCTCCCTGGTCTGACTGCTGGAAATGCCAGGATTAGACCTGAGTCGGCCAGAATAGTGGCCCCCGACCCCGATGGACTTCCGAAGTACGTGTGGGTCCGGGACAGACAATCCTCTTTCCAATGGCCCGTTCCCCTGGATGCCTATGCAGGGATCACTAGAGAGCCTGTGTTACTTCCCTCACGGAGAAATGGGATTTCGGTGCAAATGTGGCGAGAAATGATTTCTGTTTTGTACAGACGAGAAGCCAAGGGTGTGCAGAAGCGTCCCCGGGAGAAAAGTGTCCCGGGAGCGAAGCGGTAATTTTCTAATTTAAAGGAAACACGGGGAGTTGCCTCTATTTGACCTGAGTTTTGCGGGTAGTTGGGGGGCTTGGGAAAGGCTGGGAGCCTAGGATTTGAGGTTGCGCGGAGAAGATGCACGGGCCGTGAACCCCAAGGCTTCTCCCTTAAGTTCTGGATCGAAAGTGGGGGGCTGCGTGCGGGGTTTTGTTGTATTTTCCCCTTTTTTTTAGGGTCAAGAAACACAACCGCGAAGGAGAGCAGAATGGCTGTAGGTGACTGAGAAGGCGGGCTGCGCAGGCAGAGCGCACCAATCAGAGCGCGGCTCCCTTCTCTATATATATGCCCCGGCCAGGTCGGCCCAACTGTGGCGACTGTGTGCTGTCGTGTTTTTGTTTACTTCTCTCTGCGCCTGTGTTTTTTCTCTGTCTTTGCGGCTCTCGTGGCCCGTGAGTGGAGAGGATGTCTGAGACCGCTCCTGCCCCGCCGGCCGCCCCCGCGCCTGCGCCCGCGGAGAAGACGCCGGTGAAGAAGAAGGCTGCGAAGAAGGCAGCCGGCGCTGGCGGAGCGCGGCGCAAGGCTGCCGGGCCGCCCATCTCGGAGCTGATCACCAAGGCGGTAGAGGCCTCCAAGGAGCGCAGCGGCGTGTCTCTGGCCGCTCTGAAGAAGGCGCTGGCGGCTGCCGGCTACGACGTGGAGAAGAACAACAGCCGCATCAAGCTGGGCTTGAAGAGCCTGGTGAGCAAGGGCACCTTGGTGCAGACGAAAGGTACCGGCGCGTCAGGCTCGTTCAAGCTCAACAAGAAAGCTCCGGCGGCTGAGGGCAAAGGCAAGGGCAAGAAGGCTGCGTCTGCCAAGGCCAAGAAGCCGAGCGCTGCAGCCAAGAAGCCCAAGAAGGCCTCGGGAGCGGCGGCCAGCAAGAAGAGCGTCAAGAAGACGCCCAAGAAGGTGAAGAAACCGGCAGCGGTGGGAGCCAAGAAGGCGGCCAAGAGCCCGAAGAAGCCTAAGGCCGCCAAGGCCAAGAAGGTGGCTAAAAGCCCGGCTAAGGCCAAGCTGGCCAAGCCCAAAGCGGCCAAGCCTAAGGCAGCCAAGCCCAAGAAGGCGGCGCCCAAGAAGTGAAGGAATTTCTTCCCGCCGTGCTCCCTACCCGACCTCTTTATTATGAACTCAAAGGCTCTTTTCAGAGCCACCCCATAGATCTCAAAGAGAGATGCTGAACACGAACGTACACGACGTGCCTGTGTGTGTCTCTTCTGGGTGCCTTCTGCTTGGTGGGCGGGGAGGCCGAGGGTGGAGGGGAGGGGTGATGACGACAGAGGCTTGAGAAGGAAGGCGGGGGGGGGAAGGGGGAAAAAAACGAAAGGGAAGCCCGCTTACTCCACCCAGACAGGAAGAGAAAAGCGCCCTCCCCTTGCGCCTCCCCCACGCCCTTCCCCAGCCAGTCACACTAAGCCCCTCCTGTCTTTTTTGCCTTTCACCCCCTCCCAGTTCCACGTGGCGTACTTCTCTCCCCCTCTTTACTGAGCGGGGGGGAGGCCACCTGAGGGGGGGGTTAAGGGCAACAGAAAGGGGGGGGTATGGGGAAAGGAGTCGTCTACTTTTTGAGTTGGTGAGTGGCTGGAGTTGAAAACCAAGCGGATGGCCGGTTTTCTACTCGCTACGCCACGGTGCTGCTGCTCAAGGGGGAACCAGCGTACGTGAAAATACAGCTACTCTTTTCGAAACAGTGGGTGGCTCTGAAAAGAGCCTTTGGTGGGTTAGCGTTGTAGGACTTCAAGCCCTCTCCCCGCGGATGCGGCGAGCCAACTGGATATCTTTGGGCATGATGGTCACGCGCTTGGCGTGGATGGCGCACAGATTCGTGTCCTCAAACAGCCCGACCAGATAGGCTTCGCTCGCCTCCTGCAAGGCCATCACGGCCGAGCTCTGGAAGCGCAGGTCGGTCTTGAAGTCCTGCGCGATCTCGCGCACCAGCCGCTGGAAGGGCAGCTTGCGGATCAGCAGCTCGGTCGACTTCTGGTAGCGCCGGATCTCCCGCAGGGCCACGGTGCCGGGCCGGTAGCGGTGAGGCTTCTTCACGCCGCCAGTAGCCGGCGCGCTCTTACGGGCAGCCTTCGTAGCGAGCTGCTTACGGGGCGCCTTGCCACCGGTAGACTTACGAGCGGTCTGCTTCGTACGAGCCATGATCACACAGCAGGGAACTCCACTTCCCCAACAACCAAACGACTACGGAAAAACCCCACCGCCCTCGCCTCTATTTATATCGACGAGAACGTTCTGATTGGAACGTTCAAAAGCCCTGCGCCCGAATGAATTGGTGGAAAGTCAACCCTAGCCCGCCCTCGAAATGCCGAGCAATTTCATTGGATAACCTCATCCCGCCCCTCTCTTTCACTTCCTTCTCTGGGCTCAGTTTACTCGCTTGCCTTTGTTCTTCTTTTTCCCCCTTCCCGGGACCCCTCATTTCCTCTAGCCCCCTTCCTAACTCAGTCTTTGTACCGCGGGCACGCGTTCAAGTGTTTTAATTATAATTTTCGCCCTTTCCAGCTTGGGATTTGTTTTTTCGGGATCACAGACTTCTCTTTTATCTCTCCGTCCGTTTGTCTCCGAGTCCTCTCTTTTAGTTTGCGTTAGACTTTGACTTTTAGAATATTCTATGGACTCTATTCCCGCCACCTGTATGGAGCCCGTTCACCGGCTTGGAAGACCCTGAGAGTACCTTTAACTCCAGGCCTTCTAGCTGAGTCTCTCTCTGCCTTTTCTCTCCCTCCAATTCGGCCTCCCCCCCTTCTCCGCCCTCCCCGCCCCCCCCCCGCCTCGCGCGCACTTCCCGAGATCTTCATATTCCGAACCCTGATTTTCTTAACATCAAAAAATACTCTCTACACATCAAACTTTTTTTTTAGATTATTGTACTCCTATGGCTCACTTTTGGCTGCGCAGGTGACCCTAAAAAATTGAAGTTTTCGTTGGTTTTGCTGGTGGTGGTGGGGTGTCATATGAGAGATGAAGGCTCTAGTAGGTCCCACCCAACCTGATGATGTGTTTGTTTCCTGTCCGCCCTGCTGGTCCAGCTAAATTCAGGGAGCCTCATCATCAGGTCGGTCCTCTGCTTATTTACCAGGGAGCTGCTCTTTGGTTACACGTTGGCATTGCAAAAACCAAATAATAATAAATAAAATTTTAAAAATAAAGCGTTTCTTGCACTTTCGGCTTCTACAGCGGGAGGAGGCGGGAACCCGAGGGATACAGCTTGTACAAGCTTCAGATGGAGATAAAGATTCTGTAGAACGACCTGCGCGAACACCAAAGAGACCCGAAAGAGGTGGACTACCAAGAAGTCTGTCTCTTTTTAGGCAAGAGGCAGAAAAGGGAAACTGTTGAAGGTTCGGGGACCGGGTGGCCTAGTGGGCTTTAGCAAGATTATTTCCCAAGCTGTTAGGAGGATGGATGGGAGAGGCGGGAAGCAGGACCACAGAGGACAGAGATGTTATTTGCGGTGATATTTTGAGGCAATCAATTTGGACGCGCGGCGTTTCTTAAAGGAGAGGGAAAAGAGGTTATCAGGAACCTCCGTGACTGGGGTGGGGGGAAACGACAAAGGAGCGAAACGGAGGCTCTCTCCGCGAAAATGGAGACATCTGGAGAGGGCGAGAGTGGGCTGGGGCTGGGAGACCAGAGTTGGCAGCGTTGTCATCGGCGAAGCCTTAGGGACCGGGAGTGAGCAAGTTAGGAGTCCCAGGCAAAGAGATGAAGGCTGGATTGTGTAGGTGTGCTAGTTCCCTGTGTTAAGGGAGATGATGAGCGTAGACTAGAGCGGGGGACACGCCCAGGACCGTCTGGGAGAGACATTCAAGCTTAGAGGTCCGGAAGTAGATGACCCCTTGCCCAGCAGCACAAGGGAAACTGAGGAAGAGTCAACGACCCGGTAGGAAGAGAACCAGGAGAGACCCAGCGTTTCAAGCTGCTTCATTGCAATTTGGCGAGCCTGTATGCCGGTATAGAACTCCCACTCCCCTTGTATGCTAAAAGTTAGCCTGACTGAATTGGACCCGTCTGAAAGGCCGGATCGTTCCAAAGTCTTCCTTCTTCCCAATAAGTGCCTTCTGGTCTCAAGTTCTGTGCTGTCTAGGGACAGAGGTAGCCTAGCCTCCATTGTAACTAAAAGGTCCCGGTTTGTTAAATCAATGCTTGGTGACTGAGCAACTTCACACACTACAGGATTGCGACTTTCCTCCCCGAAACTACGAGGTTGTCAAGCCAAGAAAAAAAGTATTGGCGCCCACAAGCCTCCCGGATTTTGCCGGGGCACACCCGCCGCGTGTCAGCTCTTTTGCTCGAAAGTGTGGGTGGCTCTGAAAAGAGCCTTTGGTTTCTGCGTGGTAGACAAGTCCCTCGTTTCCAGGACTGTCCCGTCACAGCAGCGTGCTGGCTTACTTGCCCTTGGCTTTGTGGTGGCTCTCGGTCTTCTTGGGCAGCAGCACGGCCTGGATGTTGGGCAGGACGCCGCCCTGGGCAATGGTCACCTTGCCCAACAGCTTGTTGAGTTCCTCGTCATTGCGGATGGCCAGCTGAAGGTGGCGAGGGATGATGCGAGTCTTCTTGTTGTCCCGAGCCGCGTTGCCCGCCAGCTCCAGGATCTCGGCTGTCAGGTACTCGAGGACGGCGGCCAAGTACACCGGCGCGCCGGCGCCTACGCGCTCAGAGTAGTTGCCTTTGCGGAGCAGGCGGTGCACTCGGCCCACCGGGAACTGCAGACCAGCCCGGGAAGAGCGGGACTTCGCCTTGGCACGGGCTTTGCCTCCTTGCTTGCCGCGGCCAGACATGGTGGAGAAAGAAGAAAGCAAACGGCGACTTTCTCAGGACGAGCAAGGTGAGAGAGGTGGAGTGCCTTCCACTCCAGAGCGAACCTATTATTCTGTTAGGCGGCAGGCTAAACGGCGCCGTCCGATTGGTTCCAAACGTCTTCGAATGAACCAGCCAATGGAGAAGCAGATTCGGGATCTTGTCATTTACATATGCCCTTCCCACCCGGGGCGGATTTACCAGGCCCCGTCCAATCAGAAAGAGGGCTCCGTCATCTCTCATTTGAATAGAAGCCCTACAAATAGTCTGAAGTCAAGGCTGGCCTCTTCATTTCGTCTTCTGCTCGCGTTGGTCTGGTGAAGCAGTCTGCAGCTATGCCTGAACCCGCCAAGTCCGCGCCCGCTCCCAAGAAGGGCTCCAAGAAGGCCGTCACCAAGGCCCAGAAGAAAGACGGCAAAAAGCGCAAGCGTAGCCGCAAGGAGAGTTACTCCATCTACGTGTACAAGGTGCTGAAGCAGGTCCACCCTGACACTGGCATCTCCTCCAAAGCCATGGGCATCATGAACTCTTTCGTCAACGACATCTTCGAGCGGATCGCCGGCGAGGCGTCCCGCCTGGCGCATTACAACAAGCGCTCCACCATCACGTCCCGGGAGATCCAGACGGCCGTGCGCCTGCTGCTGCCCGGGGAACTGGCCAAGCACGCCGTGTCCGAGGGCACCAAGGCCGTCACCAAGTACACCAGCTCCAAGTAAGCTGGAGATCTGTGGGTGCCTGACGTCCCAATACACAAACGGCTCTTTTAAGAGCCACCTACTTCTTTCTGCGAGAGAGCTGACGCGCCAGATGCACTCGAGTTGCCTCCCGAGGCCCGGGCGGGGCGGGGCGGTGTGGGAGGGAAGCCAGTCAACTGCCCATCCGAGCAGCTGAGGCCGCGGCTTCGGCTCCCCGGCGGTGATGACTGCTGCCTAGGCCTCCTTGCTTCGGTCTTTTGGGCCACCACTCAGCTAGCCAGCCCCCGGGGCCTCAGGCTTTCAAACCGGGGCTGCGGCAGCAGAAAAGCTTTTCCACGCGCACAAGAAGGAGCCTTAAAGGCACCTAGCTAGCCCTCAAGCTACCTGTAACTCGCGTGGTTGCCCGCGAAAGCCTCGGCACCCTTGGCTCCTGCTCTTCCTGGGCTGCGCCGGAGGGAGATTCCGACACACCTGGTTCTGCTAGAGCTCGCTGCCCAGGCTCGGCTCTGCAACCCCCTCTCCCTCCCTTCCCTTGGGACTTGCTTCTCACCCCCTTCCCCAACTGGAATCTCGCCGAGAGCTTCGGGTACACCGGACCACGCCGGGGCGGGCGACACAACGGCCTGGACAAAACCGAAACTCATGAGCGGTTCGGGCAGCTGCAGCCACTCAGTTCGGTTCTGGAAATCGCTTGCCAGCGCAAGATTCTAGGCGCTCTCTCGCAGGCCGGCCGAGAGGGTGGGGGAAAGGCGCTCTCTGGGATAAGGGAAAGGAAGATTTAAAAATTTTAAAAGGCGGCAAAACAAACCGAAGCACATCCTGCTGCTCTCGGAGACCTTCTTTACATCCAACCAGGGCGCGCAGAACAGCGTTGATAGAGAAACCCGAAGGGAAATTTCTAAAATAGGCAAAAAGTCTTTTTTGAGTGGGAAACGGAGGCTGATGGGGGGAAGGGGTGGGGGAGGGCAGGGCAGGGCAGCAGGAGATCAGGATGAGCTTCCCTCCCCTCCCTCCCCACTCTGTCCAGGACTCCTGACATTTTTAAGTTTAATCTCCATCATTAACGTTTTCTCTTTCACTTTCTTAAGCACAGGGGCAGGGAGGAGGGGGGGTGCTCCGGAGGGGCACGGCCTGCTCACTCTGGAAAACGGCTCTCCGTGAGCCAATACATTGAAGTTTCACTGCGGTGTCCCTAGTTGACGGTACCTGGAAGGGCCCCCTTCCGACTTTTTCTTGGGGTAGATTTTCATTGGTGTTTCTTTCAGGAGGCCCAGTTGCCGGGGCCTAAGTCGTCCCGCGCCCCTGGTGAAGATGCCCTACCTAAGGATTTCCCCCAACGATTGGTCAATTTGACTTAGGTTCCTAACTACAGCACTCTTCCAGTAATTCCTTCATGGGGCTAAATAGCTGGTGCAAACCTTGTGGCATTGACCTTCTAATAATCATCGTGGCTTTTGAAAGAATGTCAGATCAAAAGACCTGCAACTTGTCTGAAGGTTTTCAGACTTCCAAAGTTCATGTATCATCTGTTCTTTCAGCATTAACCAAGCTCTGTGAGGCATGTGGACCGTGTAATTTCTGGGTTACACGTATCTTTAAAAGATTACTGGTGATCTAACCTCTGAAATGATTCCTTCTTTCAACTGATACTCTCTAAGGAAATCCCGAAACTTGGGGGATGGGGGAACCACAGGAAAAAAATATGATTTAACAGTTTCTCAGCTACTACTCAAGTAGTGGCTGTTTCACATTGAAAGTCCTCAATCCAACCTGAGAATTCGCATACCAATATTAATCCTATCTAAAATCCTGGGATTTTGGCTTTTGAGAGAAGAGATAATGAGAAGACACCCACACCCCCATCCTCTAATGGGGAGGTCCACATGTGTTGCACATGTTTTCAGACTTTTTCAATGTCCATCAGTTATGCTGACTTTCTTTAAAAAAAATGCTATTTTCCTTATCAGATGGCTTTCTAGAAGGGAGAGGGAGAGATATAGGATACAGTCATGATGACAATATGGTGAAAAAGAAAATATCAGTGCTGTCGACCTGATAGTTGGTGATAAGCAAATTAGGTGATAAGCAAAATCATATTGTTTATTCCCTTAAGTGAAGGATATGTACTTGGAGCCAGAGGTTTAACTCTGACTGAATCAAGTGGTTTTAGAAGGTTATTTAAACCCTGACAGGATGTATGTTACTCAGATTTATGGTCTCCACATAGGTTTCACCATAGAAT